TTACTAAGTCTAAAAGTGGTTGGATAAACTATTTATAACCATATTATCTTTGTACCATGATGGGAGAATAACTCACTGCACCCCAAAGGCCTAAGTGAGAAACCCAAAACTTATCTTCATAACCATACAACATTGGTCCATAAAGCATCCAAAGAGTTTTACATATCACATCTTGGCTAGTGAGCTTGTATAGAAATAAAATCCATACTTCCTTGGATTTTTGGGTAGGCTTTTCATTTTTGCAAAATTCTTTGATGGGAGAACTTGCAGTGAAATATAACTTGCAAAATTTATCACCACTATTTTTTATATGACTTTTCATCTAAATGGTTAACAATCAAACACATTCAGTAGAACGATCCTTTCCATTCGGTGATAATGATTTAAAGATTGAATAGTTTCAGCCAAAATTGCAAGAATAGGGTTGATTTGGTAATCAAATTGATCAAATAAATCCATCATTGTAACATCAATATAACCAATTACTTTTGGAAATACTATTATCCTATATAGAGCCGATGACATCAAATCCATTCCTTTTTTAGTGCTAAAATATTTATATATAAAGTCACAAACAATGGACTAAGGAACACCAACATTTTTTCCTTTTCCTTTTATTCAGTTATCAACTATTTGGACATCTACAACCATCATTTGAGCAAGCTTTTTTTGGTAACCAGTCTTTTTTATTTTTTCAATATACATTATCAAGATTGGACAGATCCAAACGGAAAGAGAGTTGAATATTCTTCAATAGTTGGCACCATATAAATCTCGTTGAACACAAAGCAGTGATATGAAAGATCCCCAAACTAAATCGTAGCCCTAATAAGGTAATCACCAACAGGGACTGAAAGAAATAATATAAGATCCCCAAATTTCTTTTGAAAAGTCTTCTTGGTAGTGACTCTCAATTGGTTCCAAATACTAATTGAATCGCTAAGATCATTTCGTTTGAGATTGAGATGGATTTTGGCAGGTAGAGTAGTTACATAATTGGTTGGCAAACAATCACCTCTTTTAAGCTGAGCTTCTTTGGACTTCATTCTCAAGCACATAAGAAACTTTGATAAGCTCTTCATGGATGTAAATAAAATTTTTTTTGTTAAAATTATTTTGTGACAATCACTCATTATGTAAATCTCAATGATGCATGAATGCACAATAAAATAGAGAGAGAAACAAGGTTATTTAACATAATATAATATATAGAAGGAATAACAAAATATAAAAGGTTAGTATGCAAAAATATATACAAAGAATAACATAAATTTATAACAATAATAACTATCCCATCGTGTGTCCTATTTAGGTTTTTTTTTTTAATTACAAAGAAGGTAAGGCTCTAGCCTAGGTTTGGATCCTTAGAGTTTATGTAAATGCTAGGTTCAAAGGCTTAACAATCCAAAGGCTCTCAAATTATTCCTTACAGCATCGTCCATTATAGAATAGTAAGGCACCCTAATCCTCACCCACCATTATAGCCATCAAATGGAAAAAGGTCCAATTTGAAGAAGAGTTTTCACTAACTCACACGAAAGTTATCACCTCACGAGAGTGTAGGTGCTTGCTCTCTCCTAATAAAGGATAAGGCTCAAGTATAAAGCTTATATAAAAATGTAAGTGTGGTGTGTGTAAAGGGACATGCCGAGTAATCAAATAGGTGGGTGTGAATAAAAAATAATATCTACAAAACAAACAAATAGGAAACCAAAAACAAATAGGTTAGTCCACATAAATAATTATATAATAAAAAACTATCAAAGTAAGGTTGAAGATAATAATTAACTAACTAATGACTTAACTCTCTAATATCCCCAATGGAGTTGCCAAACTGTCATAATGTTTAGGTTAGGAAACCTACTCATTACACACAAAAATCATGGAGTCGTCACTAATTTTTTTTAGCTAGGTGTGATTAGCCATCTATGTAAATCTATCCTTTTTAAGGTTACCTTAAGCCTAAGCTAAGAGTCTCTAAAAAGAATAAGTTTTGGTTTACATCAACAGAACTAAGGTTTAGAAGTCGGTTACATGCAAGAAAGGTATTAGCACCCTTTTTATGCTCAAAATTGGTATCAAATTAATTATGTGTTATCTTGCCTAAGACTTAATCAAAGATGATTTTATCATGTAAATCAAAATTAATTCCAATCCTTTTATTTATTTACAAAGCATAGTGGTACATAAATTCTATCAAAATATCAAGCAATCATGCAATAAATCTTGAATCATACCATGCAAAAATTATCATGTAAATATATTATAAATCATATCAAATGTCATGTGATAATATCATTCCTAGATCATGCTAAAATATTCATGCAAGAATGTCATGCAAATATGTTGATTATCATGCAATAATAACAATAATGTAAATATATAACATTATGCAAATATATTAATTATCATACAATAATATAAAATGCCATGCAACAATATAAAATACCATGCAAATATATAATCATATTAGCAATTATGTATAATCATACAATTATGCACACAATAAACATAGAAACATACAATTAAATATCATTAAAAAATAATATTAATCATGCAATAACATGTAATATCATATCGTACAATAAATATAAATCTACAATAATAATAAATAAATAAATAACTATGCAAATAAATATATTAATAACATTACAATCACACAAATAAATAAATTAATAATAATGTAATTAAATATATAATCATGCAATTAACAACGTAAGTCATGCAAATAAACATGCAATTAAATATATAAATCATGTAAATAAATATACAATTAAATATATAATCATGCAATCACATAAATAAATAAATTAATAATCATATAGTTAGACATGCAAATAAAAATATAATCATGCAATAATAATATTAATAACCATGCAATTAAATATATAATCATGTAACTAAAAATATATAAACTATGCAAATAAATAGGCAATTAAATATATAATCATGCAAATAGTAATATATTAATCATGCAAATAAACATGCAATTAATATATAATTGTGCAACAAATAATACATAAATCATGCAAATAATAATATATAAATAATGCAATCATGTAAATAATAATATATAAACCATGCAAAATATGCAATTACATGTATAAAAGTTATGCAAAAATCATAAAAAAAAGAAAGCAAATATTACCTCAATAGATCACAAGTTCTGACAATTTTTTACCTTTCAAAAATTGATGCTTCTTACTATCAATCTTAGCCTTCCCTCAAAAAATTCCAACTGGATATTCTTGCAAAATTTTCTTGCTTAATTGATTCTTCCTTGTTGGTTCAGAACTTTACTTAAATTTTTCTTTCCTTTCAATAATCTCTATTTGATCTTAAAGTGAATTGTTGTGACGCCCTCTTTTTTATCTTAGATTCAGGGTTCTTATATAAGGATTGAATTTTTTCGATTTGAAAGAAATTAATTCAACTGAATCTAAGATTTCTCTCCAAATTTTATTCTCTATGTAATCTTCCCATTTTCAATATATTGAGTCTCAAGTCTTTCCAAAATTATTCAACCATTAAAGTTAAAATCTGATATAGATTCTAAGAGTTAAATTGAATGCAAAATTTTTCATGCAAAATCTCATATTTTTTTTTATTTTTACCCTTTTTATAATTTTTTTATCAATTGATTTTGACTCTTTTGACTAAAAAAATTAAACTAAAAAAATAAAATACAAATAAAATTTAGGACTTAATCTTTAAACCTAAAATTCACTTTTTCAATTAAGGTTCAATTGCACAATCAAAATTAAAATTTAAAGCTCAATAAATTTTGAAAAATTTTGAATAAAATAGGGTGTCTATATCATATAATTAATAACTTGGTAAGCATCTAAAGAACACAACAATTGTCATTATTTTCTTCAAGGATATCCTGAGGAGATTGGTCTTTTTTATTATTCAATTTCTTTTCTTTTTGGTGATGAATTAAAGAGAAAAAAGGGTAAAAATTGCTAAATAAAAAGCTGATAAAATTTGCATAACTTAAACCTATAAGCTGTATTTCGAAAGGATTTTATCAAATATGCACCAAATAAAAATATATATAGTAGTACAAAATAAAAAAGCTTACAATCTTTCAAATCTTTTTGACAAATGACAATAACTTTGAATTAATGGCAATTTGGTGCCATTAACTAAGCCCTAGTAATTACTTAAACAACGTAACCAATCTCAAATAGAAAAATATTGAATCGTGTTTAATAACATGAATTAAAGTGATATTTAAAGAAAAAATATAATTAATGTATTGTCTGAAAACGATTAAAATCTTTTTTCTGGAGCCTAAAAAAGTCGAAAGAAAGAAAACAAACAATATTTCTCTATCGCTTTTTAGTTTTTAAAATCTTGTTTCTGGGAAAAAAATTCCACATTAGTTGATAGTCAAAAGACACATAAAAATATTATTTATTAATTTTTAATTAAGTTATTGACTGTTGATTTAGATCGAACTAATAATATCAATCTTAATTCTGTCATTTGAAGTTCAGTCCATCTAGACCAAATGCTTTCACCATACAAATAACCTCTCTCAAATACTATTAAATCAATTCAGTTTTTATATCTATTTTCAAATTCTCTTTCTTCTTTATTTTCTTTTCAAGCACTAATTTAAATATTAAAATACAAATACCATAAAAACCTTAAGACTTTTGCTATTAACCGACTTTCCATTTTGTAATTTTAAGTTTCAGCCTTCGTCAAGATAACTCGGTCCCACCGGCACCAAATAAAAAAAATATAGTAGTACTAATAACATAAAACACTTTTGACAAATGACAATACGTTTGGTACTATTAATTAAACAGAGTAACCAATCTCAAATAGAAAAATACTATTTCGTGCTGATTGACATTGATTAAAGTGAAGTTTAAATAAAATATAATTAATGTCTTGTCAAATTATTGAAAGAAATTAAAATCCTTTCTGGAACGCAGTAAATTAAAAAGAAAGAAAACAAACAGTGCTTCTCTTTCTTTTATTAGTTTTCAAAGTCTTGTCCTTGGGAAGAAAAAACCATTTGCTGTCACCCCACCATCAACGCAAATAATTTGGCCCGTGATATAAGAGGACGCTGGAAGGCATAGGAATGCTACCAAATGCGCAACCTCTTCTGGCTGTCCAGGGCGACCCAGTGGAGTTCGAGAGTTTAGAGCTTCCAAGAATTTATTGCTACTTAAAATCTGAAAAAAAATTTGGAAAAGTAATTCAATATCACTATATATTCAGAATTTGTTAATTCATCAAGAGGAAACTATAATTCACAAAAAAAAAAAAGCATGCTGAAGAGATACTGGTTCAACAAGTGGGGTTCTGATGAACCAAGGTGCAACACAATTGCTCCTGATATTATCTTTTGCCCACTCACATGCCAAATCCTTTGTCAATTGGTTCATTGCTCCTGTTTAAAAATATTGCACAAAATTTAATTACACTTCTCCACCAAAAAAATTTCAACAGCATTAAAATTTAACAAAGTTGCTCGGATTCAGGGTGAGTATGAGATACGGATGTGTGTCCAAACACCGGTATGTTCAATTTCTTTGAAGGCCTTTTTTTTTTTTTTGTTTATATGAAAGATCAGAACTCCATACCCAAGTCTGTTAAATGTGTTAGATATAAGTACTTTGAGAAAAAAATGAAGAGTTGGAGTAACATAAAAATTCAAAATAACTAAGATTTATATCATTTTTAAATAGGTACCTTTAGTTGACCCATAGATAGATCCAACATTGAGTGAGAGCACACCAGCAACAGAAGAAACAAAAACAATGCTTCCAGCTCCTGATGCTTTGAGAAGGGGATAAGCAAGTTGGCAGAAGTGGAAAGCCGATTCAAAATTGGTTCTTAACAGATTTGATAGTTCTTCACTTGTGAAATCGATGGTTGCTTTCCAAACGTTTGTCCCAACATTGTTTATCTATAACAATCAAAATTTTTACACAAAAATTCTTCAAATGTTCAGCTCAACTCAATCATCTGCTCAGTTAAGTACTATATATCCTTTGAAAGTTTTAAAGAAACCAGATTCTAGCCATGTGACTACTCTGTTTTCTGTTGAAAATACAAATTAATTTTATCATATCATGATCAAATTGTTGCACCTGAAGCAATAATCACAACAATACAGAAGCAATAGACAATAATCAATAATCAAATATGCAGGAAAAATAAAGCACACCAAGATTTACGTGAAAAACCCTCCAGTGTAGAGGGAAAAAACCACGGGCCACCAGAAAAATTTTCACTATCAAATAATAGTTATGCAAAGTTCTTCTCTAGCTAAAACTAGAGCTAATCAACAACTAGAGAAACAATTGGAAAAATCTCACCAAATAAGTGACTCAACAAATACACCCTGGATTTGTTCCTAGAGAGCTTCAAACCCGATCTTCACCGTTCAGAATGTAGAACTCTAAATCATAAACCTCCTGACAAGGTTCTAACTCAATCGGACCACGGATCGACTTCCGTTCAACCAACTCTCCCTTTTCCTTTTTTTCTATCTGCTTTTCCTGGCTTTTCTTCTTTCTCTGCTTGGTTTTCGACACACACTTAAAACAACTCCACCTCTTTTTTATTAAGTAGCTAGGGCTCTGTGTAAAATAAAAAATCAAGGCCCATGACCTTTACTTGGTCCAAAATCACTTACATGGGACTGGACCTCATTTTCCTAACAATCTCCCTCTCCAGCCCCATTAGGAGGAGATTCATCACCATAGCAGTTTCATTTGAAACTTACCTTGGCCAGAGAACTCATTCCAGCCAAGTTACTGCAAAGCTCAAGCTTTTCCCTAGGAAGTTTAACAAGATCATAAGTACCATTCTTTCGCAATGACTCCATCTCTTCTTTCATTGCTTTTAACCAGTGCTCTCTATCCGGAGTAGCCTGCACATCTTGAAAGCTTTCTGGCTCCCCTTCACTAGTAACTAAAATAAAATTTGAACTTGGATACCTGATAGATGGCCTGCACTCTCTAGTAGATCTCCTGGGCTGAGACTCTACATCACTTGATGCCGAAGGTAGCTCCTCCTGCTCAACACTCTCAGATAGAGAGGATTGCTCTCCCTGCTCAAAACTAATAGCATCTGGCTCATCACCAATTGTAGCTGGCTTATTCATATCCTCAAGTTCTGTTTCTTGCTCATTTTCACCATCTGTGGCTCTTTCCTGTGGAATCCCTGTTGGTGTTGAAACATCACACTCAACAGTAACCTGTGTAGTCTTCTCATTTTTCTCAAAGTCTGCTATGGTTTTTTTTTCATGAAAGACCACATCCTTGCTTCTGACTGTCTTTCTCTTTACTGGATCCCATACCCTGTAGCCAAATTCTTCATCACCATATCCTACAAACACACACTGTGTAGTTTTACTGTCAAGCTTTGATCTCTGCTCTTTCGGCACATGCATGAATGCTTTACACCCAAAAACTTTTAAGTGAGAGTATGAAGTATCTTTCCCTATCCACACTCTTTTTAGAATGTCAAAGCCCAAAGGAACTGATGGTGACCTGTTAAGTAAATAAGAAGTTGTGTTGACTGCTTCATCCCAGAATGGCTTTGGTAATTTTGCCATTCTCAACATACATCTGACTTTTTCCATAATGGTACAATTCATTCTTTCAGCTATACCATTATGCTGCGGTGTTCCAAGTTCTGTCCTCTCATGCCTGATCCCATGCTTTGAGCAATACTCTTCAAAAGCCTTTAGATGTGTATTTCCCACCACTATCAGTTCGAATACACTTCAAGGGTAACCCTGTCATCCTCTCAATCATGGCATGAAATTTTTGAAAATACTGTAGTACCTGACTTTTGTATTTCAACATATACACCCAAGTCTTACGTGAAACATCATCAATAAAAGTAACAAAATATCTACTACCACCTAATGACTCAACCTTAATGGGATCACATACGTCAGAATAAATTAATTCCAATCTATTTTCTTTTCTCTAAGAACTTTTACGAAAATAAACTCTATAATACTTACCAAACAAACAATAATTACATGAATCGAGAGACATACCTTTGGTCAAGGGAATGAGAGACTGTCTTGCCAAAACCTGTAACCCTTTTTCACTCATGTGTGCCAGCCTCCTGTGCCACAAGTTTGCTGAAGCATCATTTTCAACGGTATTTACCTGGTTACCGTTCAATTGCATCTATGTCTTATATATTGTGCAGCATAGTTTTCCCCTTGTAACTACCATAGATAATTTGAGAAGCTTCTATTGTCTATTTCTTTTATCGACTTTCATAACCCTCCTTATCAAAGACATTAATAGCAAGCAAGTTCATTCTCATATCTGAAATGTGTCTGACATCTCTCAAAGTCAACATGCAGCCTGTACTAGTTTGTACAATAATATCACCAATCCCAACAATCTGCGACACATTCTTGTTTCTCATTTTGGTACAACCAAAGTCTCCTGCTTTGTAAGTTGTAAACAACTCTCTCTTAGGAACATAATGATATGCCGTTCTTGTGTCAACTATCCACTCAATGTCGGGATCGCTAACATGATTGCAATCACCATGTGTACAAATCAAAGTAACTGAATCACTATCTGAATTCATTGCTGCAACATTGCTATCATCTGAACTCTTGCCTTTCTCATCTTTTCGCTCTTGCTTCAAGATTTTACAGTTTCATTTTATATGACCCGTCTTACCACAATGGAAACACTTCACTTTACCTCTAGACTTGGATCTATGTTTAGACTTACCACGACCTTTTGAGTCCTGACCTCTGTCAATGTTTCTACCCCTGTTCTCTGTGACTAGAGCTTGATTCCCAGGGTCTACATCTTTTCACCTTGTTTTTTTATTAAACATATTGTCCTTTACCATCTCCAATGTCATCTTATAATCAGGAGTTGAATTAAGAACAGTCACAACTAGAATATTCCAACTGTCTGACAATGAACCCAAAAAAAAATAACGCCTTCATTTCATCATCCATCTTAAGCTTCATAGTAGTCATCCGATTAAATATATCTTGAAAATCACTCAAGTGCTCTGTAACAGATCGTCCATCCATGTACTGTAAAATTGCAATCTTTTTAACAAGCATAACTTTATTCATACATGTTTTTCTCTCATACAATGTTGCCAATTTTTCTCAAACAATGTGAGCATCTGACTCCTACGCTACATGATGGAACACGCTGATATCAACCTATTTTTGATTATAGCTAGCGTCTTTTTACCTAGCTTCTTCCAGCTTTCATCTTTCATATCTACTGGTTTAGCTGAATCACCCAATACTGACTCATACAAATCTTTACAGTATAGATGATCCTCCATCATAGGTTTTCAAATTGAATAATTCGATGCTGTCAATTTTATCATGGAACCTGTATCACCCTTCATGATCTCAAACAAAATTTACTTCTATCCTGGGTTACTTCTGTATAGATGTCTTAAAATAACCCTCACTCTGATACCACTTGTCACGGGTCGAGACTTAAGCTCTAAACTCGTGCGGTTCCGAGACTAGGGCATTCACCCTTTCAGTATCCCAGATTAGCCTTTCTGTCACGGTTCACATCCTTGTGAGGTATTATCCGCTCTGACCCCTTTGGTCTCACGGTTTTATCCTACAAAAGGTGCCTCAATAAGCAGAGGTGGTGTAAATCCTTTTATACCCCAGTGACTCTCCTATTATATTCGATGTGAGATTTAAGACTCTTCCTTAGGTCCGTGACATTCTCCCGCATCCAATCTTGTGATGCCCTCATCACGGAGGCTAACCACACTGCCTACCTCCCTCGAGGTGCTTGGCGTGGATCGAACGATATAGGGCTGGCTCTGATACCACTTGTCACGGGTCGAGACTTAAGCTCTGAACCCGTGTGGTTCCAGGACCTGAAAATTCACCCTTTCGACATCCCAAATCAACCTTCCGCCACGGTTCACACCCTTGTGAGGTATTGTCCGCTCTGGCCCCCTTTGGCCTCACGGTTTTATCCTACAAAAGGTGCCTCACAAGGCGGAGATGGTGTGAACCCTTATATACCCCAGTGACCCTCCTATTATGTTCGATGTGGGATTCAGGACTCCCCTTAGGTCCGTGACATTCTCTCGCACCCAACCTCGTGACGCCCTCGTCACAGAGGTTGGCCGCCCTGCCTACTTCCCTCGAGGTGCTTGGCGTGGATCGAACGGTTTAGGGCTGGCTCTGATATCACTTGTTGCACCTGAAGTAATAATCACAACAATACAAAAGTAATAGACAACAATCAATAATCAAATACGCAAAAAAATTAAAGCACACCAAGATTTACGTGGAAAACCCTCCAATGTAGAGGAAAAAAACCACGGGCCACAAAAAAAATCTTCACTATCAAATAATAGTTATACAAAGTTCTTCTCTAGCTAAAACTAGAGCTAATCAACAACTAGAAACAATTGAGAAATCTCATCAAATAAGTGACCAACATATACAACCTGGATTTGGTTTCTACGACGAGCTTAAAACCCCGATCTTCACCATTCAGAAATGTAGAACTCTGAATCATAAACCTCCTGACAAGGTTCTAACTCAATCGGACCACGGATCGACTTTCGTTCAACCAACTATCTCTTCTCATTTTTCTCTCTCTACTTTTCTTGGCTTTTCTTCTTTCTCTGCTTGGTTTTCGACACACACTTAAAACAACCCCACCTCTTTTTTATTAAGTAGCTAGGGCTCTGTGTAAAATAAAAGATCAAGGCCCATGGCCTTGATCCAAAACCACTTACATGGGACTGGATCCCATTTTCTTAACACAAATTGATGCTTCCTACCAGAAATAACGAAACTTACAAGAATGTTAAGTTTCCCACTGAACAGAGAGGAAACTTTGTTCATCAGCCTTTGTCTTTCAGCTGGAGAGGTTACATCACAGACTGAACCAAGAACTTGTAAACCCTTCATCTTCCATTCTTTCAAGCACTCATTCAGCTGATCTTCGTTGCGCGAACATGTATAAACTATTGCCACAAGTGCTGCCAATTCTTCCACAACAGCAAGCCTAAAACACAATTTAACAACAAAAAATATATATATATTGCAAAAATTAACAGAAACATTTTAAGTGAAAGAACAATCTCATGAACTATACAGAGAGGGGAAGTAAAGTCCCCTTACCCGATTCTTTTGGTTCCACCAGTAACAAGAGCAGTTGCTCCTTTGAGAGACCATTGCCTTAAACTTGAAGCTGCATCCCTTGCCATGATAACTCTCTCTCTCTCTCTCTCTCTCTCTCTCGGGCCAAAAGCTTGAGGTATGCAAAAAAAAGTAGATAACAAGAATTGTTGGATCTCAATTATGACTCGTAAATACCTCAATTAATTCTTTCTCACAAAATTTACTTAATAAAAAAAAACAAAAATCAACCGATTCATTTGGATTCAATAGGCCTATTTTTTGTCAAGAGCCAATAAAATTTCAAAGTACTGGAAAACAAATAACAAGTAAGGAAAGCGAATGCTTACATCATATTTGGACAAATATTAATAAAGAAAAAATTTTTAAAGAAAAAAAATAATACAGTAACTATTATTTGGATAATTAAAATTAATAAAAAAATTTAAAAATTTTTATTTGGATAAAAAGTAAAAAAAAAATGATTCATTATAATAATTTTTTTCAACTATAACTTTTCATTACTTGAATTTTAGAATACTTATAAACTATAATATATTTGTTATCTTATTTGATCTCACAATTGCTACTATATCAATTGTTTTTAATTAAGTGAAATAGAAAGGTGTTTTATATAATATACTTAAATTATAATTATAATATACTACATATAAAAAATAAAAAATTTTGAGTTAGTCTGACATTTCATAAACCAAAAAAATATATTTATTCATATCAATCACTCATCAAAATCAAATTACCAAAAAATTATAAAAAATTTTATAGTGAAAGAGATATATGAAACTTATTTGAAAAAAGAGATGGCTTTAAAAAAATTATAGGATGATTGTAATCTAGTTAGATTTTTTTATTAAGTTTTTAATATTAATAAAAAGATGGATATAATAATCTTTTTATAATTTTTTTTTTAACTTTCCTTTCCCTTGCTTTTCCTCCAAATTGAGATATTAAAAAAATTGGATTTATAAGAGAAACCAAAGATTATTTGGTTTTCACCTCTTTCACTTTCTTTAAATTAAAAATTTATGTAAACAAAAAGAGAAGGTTTTGTTTCTTTTACTTTTCATTACTTTACTTTTTTTTCTTTCCTTTCTCCTCAATCCGAACACACTATTAAGGAATAATTCAATAACAAGAAATGGAGACAATACACAAATGCAAACATGGGAAATAACTCCTCTTCTATGCTGATCAAATAGCCATTTCCATGGTAGAATTTTGAAAGAAGTTACCCATGTCATTATGATTACACGACAATGGCTATAATCCAAATAAGAATACTAAAGGAAATTATGTTAGAACCATGAAAGAAAAACAAGTGATAAGCTAAGGAAAGCCAAAAACTATTATAGCACAAGAAATTTTAGCAGGGTAAAAGTTCTTGTTCAAACATGAAAGAATGAGTAGGGGATTGCCAACAAAATCTAGTGGAAATCAAGATAATGTGAAAATTTTTAATTTTAAATTTAACAACGATTGGTTTGACATAAAATAAGAAGATAGAAAAGAACAAGACATTTCACCATTAAGATAAATAATTTGACTTGATTATGCAAGATGATGCGGGCCAGCAAAGGATTGCCACCAATGATGAAGCCTCTGTTGTTACCATAAATGTTAACCACTCATTTGACTTCTATGGATTTGGGGAATAAAGCTTTCAGGCTTGATTTTGATGCCAATATGCAATTAGCAACTAAAAAGCCACCAAAAAATCAAGGTAAAATCCAAATTACCAAACAGTAAGGCATGGATGGACTACAGCCTCATTTGGATTTAATTAAAGCTCCAGTGTGTTACGTTTTATTACTTTTTCCCTTCAATCTCACCATGATTCTTATTTGGATAACATCAATGATGATGAGTTTGCTAGCCTGAATCACATTGATACATCAGTTGAAGACTGGACTTTTAGGGGTTCAGTGGATAACTGATATCTCAACAAGTCTTTTTTATCCCCATTATTTTTTTTTACATTCCTATCATGCCTTTAAATGAGTTTTTATTTAAAAAAAAAACTTAAAATATGTTTTTTCTCACTTATTTTTCTCTCTTTTCATTTTTTGTCACCATCCTAAATTTTTAACCATAAATTGCCTCCTCTTTCATATTGCCACCCTTTGCTATTGTCACTTGCTCCATTTCCCCTTGCCTCTATCACTTGTTCCGTTTTCTTGCCTCTTTAAACTTCCATCGAAACTGTAGTTGGTTTCAAGCTGTTTGACGAACAGGGTTGTAAGCATTGAAAGGTATGATTCTTTTGCTTTTTTACCTAAAATCAAGATTGCTTTCGATTTTTTTATTTAATTCTATCAGTGAAAAAGAGTTCTATACTTTTTAAGAAATAGGAATATTTAGTGTAAGAGTTTTTTCCTAAACAAGAATAATTTAAAAACTTTTTTACCAAAAAAAGGTACTTTTAAACTTATTTCCTTTACTAAGACATTTTAAACTAAGTAAATCCTAATCAGAGAGATAAAAAAGTATCATTATGTATATCTCCTTGGTTTTTTATTGCTCTCTGCTACTTTTTATTATCTATTTATCTCAATTAGGTTTTGTTTGTTCACGAAATACCACTGTCCACTATTTTTGCATTCAAATATTTTATCATCTATATTTTGTAGCATAAGAAAAAGATGAAACGTCAAGATCTTTCATGAATAAATTTAATTTAATTATTTTGCTTATTTTTTTATATGAGCAAGACTAAATTGTAACTCGATTAAAATCTGAAATTTCATAGGATTTAAAATATTTCAAAATCAAATAAGTATTGTTAATCATTAAAACCAAAATTTTATTCATTAGGAGATTATAACACATGGAATAGAGTATATATTCTTAGTCTCATCCCAATCATCAAACCAAGATACAACTTGATTTTGAAAAGCCAAACTAGAATAAAACATAGCACAAAAAACCATCCCCTGCAACAAATAAAGAACAAATCGAAATGCAAAATTTATCCCAACCAGCAGTAGAAAGAATATAGTTCAAAGTTCTTCTTATGTTGCTTTTGTTTTTATGAATGCATTAAAAAAAGTGTTCTCTTTACTTTATGAATATAAACCACTTTTTTCATTATATGTTGGTTCTATCTTTCTTTTTTGAACTTGATATTAGTTTATTTCCTACTAATATATTATGTTTGAAATACTTTGATCAATAATTTATTAAATTTGAAATAATAATAGATGGTGAAGAGAAGAAACAATGTCAAGGGTGATACTATCTTAGCAACCAAAGCTACTTGGGATGACGAGCTCACAATGATATTTTGTGAACTTTGTGTGAATGAAGTAAATACTAGTAATAGATTAACAACTCATCTGAAATCTAAAGGGTAGGAAAATGTTATTTCCTTTTTTAGATCTAGGACACAAAAAAGTTATGGAAAATCTCAATTAAAAAATAAATAGGACACATTAAAAAAAAAGTGGAGATTATATACTAAGTTACTTAAAAATTCTTTAGGTTTAGGATGGTGTCCTTTTAAGAAAACAATTGATGCAACTGAGGAATGGTGGGCTGAAAAAAATACAGGTTAGTGTTACTTATTTCAATATTATAATGCATTAAGTTAGTTAAAATTCTTATCGATAGTCATCTTTGAAATTTTGGAGATAACCTTTAGCCATTAGAAAATTATGTAGGAAACTAACAATTATAAAGTATTTAAGAAGAGAGGAATTGAGCCACAATTGAATGAGTTGATGTGGCAAATGTTTGGTGACACTATGGCCACTGGAAAGCATGTATAGGCACTTTCATCAGATGTTCTTCCAGGTGGAGCTTCCAGGGAGGATGCTACACCTATAAAAGGGCTGGAGATTCAGATGAACATGATATTGAGGTTGCAACCGATGGTGACATAGATGAAAATACCTTTTTTGACACTTCTAATTGAGGCAAACGGGTTCTTAGAATAGTACAAAATAAAGGTAAAAAATAAGTTCTAATGAAAACATCTATAGAAAAGACATTGACTACTCAAATTGACAAAATTATGTGATAATATGAGTAACCAAAGAAGATCAGTAAATAAAATTATCTTTCCTCATTCCCCATATTCTATTTCAGATGTAATGGATACATTATGAGCTATGAAAAATGAAATCCAAGAAATAGTTATCTATATGTTTTTGGCACCAAAATATTTCAAGTTTCGGTAAAGCAAGAGGTGCTCTTGAATTTAGATCCAAATCTTAGGGCTTGGTGGCTTCAATGTGAGTATAATGAACAAAATGCTACTGCACGTTTTTCTTTCTTGCTAACAACACCTTCATGTGGCTTTCAACCATTCCAACAAACACCTCTACCACCACTACCATATTCATCTGGTTCTCATGGGTCATTATTGTGAAATTAAAGCAAGTGATTATATTCTTTGGTTTAAGAACTATCAAAATATGGTATTATGATATTTTGAGTTATTGTGAATATATGTATGTATAAGTATGTTGTATGTTTCTTTTGATGTATGGTTACTTTAACTTGAACCCAAATGAAACGTGGTAATTTGCTTTTGTTAAGGTATCTTATATTATATATTAGTGTATATATGTCATATTATGGGTTATTTATGATGCAATGTCATAATATGTGAATATGTTTTTTTTTTAGGTTATGGATGACTTTAATAATTTGTATGAGAATTTTGTGATGAATTATGATAACATTGAATTAAATGAAGATCATCAACAGAGAATAACCACAATTGTTGCACAAGTTGAGCAGAATAATTATTATGGTGTGGAAGATAATGGAATTGTGGCATAGTGGTGCATCATGAAACTTATTTTACAAAACAACCATGTATGAATTCAAATTTTATTGGAGAAAAATGCGTGATAGAGATATTAAATGGGCATAATAATGGTTGTATGACCAGTTTTAGGATACTAAAGAATAGATTTTATAGTTTGTTGCATGATTTGCTAATAAGTTATGGTTTGAAACATGGGAATATATCTGTACTAGAGAAGTTTAGCATTATCATTATGCATTCTTGGACATAGGCAAACAAATTTTAACATAAGAGAGCAATTTCAACGATCTGGTGAAACTATTAGTCGAATTT